AGGTAAAACTTGTTGGTAACAAGTGAACCAACAGATCTCTAATGGATTTGATTCTTGCAAAGAGTGGAAGAGGGGGCAGCAGTCATGTAAAAGCTCTTCTTATTTCCTTGCTTGTTATTTTTGTAAATTTTTCCTTTTGCTCATTTGCCACCATCAACATTTGATTGCTTGTGCAGACAATATACAGAAAAGTCAGGAATGGCTATTTCCAGCAAATGATAATTACAATGTGCTGGGTACCAGAAGTGAGCCATCAAAACCCTATGCATCCTGTAATTTTAATAGCTAACACCTTCTATCACAATGTCCCTACTCTTATAAATAAGAAATGAAAAATCACTATGTATTCCCATATAAGGCTGTAAAAGCAACCAGCTGTTCCTGGCCATGGGTTTCTTGGGATTTCAGAGATACTAGACATATCTGATGTTTGCAAAGATATTGATTGTTTAATATTCCCAAGCAATAGATGCTAACAAATAAAAGTCATACCTGGAAAATTAAAAGTGATGGTTGGAATGCAAATGTCTCTTCCTTGTCAAATTTAAATTTGAAATTAAATTGGGGCCTTCACTGCTGTGACAGGGAACTCTGACCTCTGAGTAATTACTTTTCTAACACCATTTTTCCTTTTAATTTGGAAGAGATACCTCTAGTTTAAGAATTGCTGAAAAGACCAATTTTATGAAAATGAGGCTAGATCTTAAGAAAACCCCATTCATGTCTTGCTTTGAGTTCAGGCACATTCCTATTCCTAGTGAGGTGTGTTTCATATATATACTAGTGCTCCCCAATCAGCACTCACACTGTCATAATTACATAATTACACTAGCACACCCAACAGTCATTGAGGACTAATGACACAGCTTACAACTTAGAACTCATAGCAGAATCAGTCTGGGAGGGGGGGTGGGAAGGAGTCTGAACAGGTGATTCCTTACACTGCTCCTGCACTCCCTGACATGTGGGGTCCAGATATTTATAAAACCATTCATTTCTGAACTAAGAGCAATCCAAACTGAAGGAAAATCATGTACAAAATTAAAAAGTATGACATAAGACAGCATTTCCATGGATTCATTCATTTCTTCATTTTTAACACATATTTTTCAAGTCTCCAGAATACTAGGCATTCTGCTGTGTGTTGAGGATGGAAGAATGAGTAAATGAGTAAATCCCTACCCTCAAAGGGGGTCCACAGAATTTAGGGGTAGAACACAAAAACAGAAAATCATCTTGCAATGGACAAAACACCAGGGTCCCAATGACAGAGAGTATGCAAAGGCAAACAGGAATCTCACAGGGAAGGAACTGAGGCCAGATATACTAAAAACAGTATGACTTGGTAAGTAATTAAAAGTGGCAGGTAGGTGAATGGGTTGGTGTGTGTGTGTGTGTTGTGTGGGGAGGTGTTAAAAGTAGCTCCTCTGTTCCTGGAGCTCACAACCACAAGTTTTGAGAACACCCATGAGTGTGAAGAAGGCTCACAGGGACTGCTAATAAATAGGATCTGAACAAGGTGAGTTTGAGGTAATTTAGCAACAACTCATTGGAGAGGTCCAGTTTTCCTGATGGCATAACCCTAATAACTCATTTCTGAGTCTTTGTGCTGAGTTTATCAGAGCACTCATAAAATACCAAATGAATATTATGTACAAGAAATGTGTGCGAATTTTTATTGGCTATTATTTAATTCTCCCAGAAATATTTATCAGGAAAGTCGATTATTAGCCCACTTTATGGAGAAGTCTAAGTCTAAAATATTTACAATGTAAGAGAGGAGCTATAGCACATTTACAGATTAAAAATGACTCAAAAAGAAACAGGATACATGAAAAGAAGCTCAACATCACTAGTCATCAGGAAACATAAAAATCACAGTGAGATGCCACTAAAGTTTTAGGTAGAATTTCAATAGATCAAGAAGATACAAAAATTCAAAGGATTGCAACAATAAGTATTGGTGAGGATGTAGAGAAACCAGATATACATTACTGGTGGGAATGTAAAATGGTACAGCTACCATGGAAAACAGTTGGTCAGTTTCTGATAAAGTTAAATATATGCTTTCCATATGGCCCCAAAATTCCACTCCTAGATTTCTACCCAAGAGTAATTAATATACATTCACACAAAACTTCCTTGTGAATGTTTGTAGCAATATTATTCATTATAGCCAGGAGTTGGAAGCAATTCAAATATCTACCAACTAATGGATAAACAAAATATGATATATCTCTACAATGTGGTAAAATTAAACTATAATTAGTAATTAAGAAACTATAATAAACAATTAAGTACTAAAACATCCTAAAATATGAGTAAATCTCAAAAATATCATGCTAAGGAAAGAAGCCAGACACAAAGACCTCAAACTGTATGAATTCATTTATATGAAATGTCCAGAAAAGGCAGCAAGAGGAACAGAAAGATTAGTGATTGCTTAGGACTGGGAGGATATTGGTGAGACAGAAAATGACTGTAAATGGAAATTTGGGGGATGAAGGAGGCATTCTAACTGAATTATGAAGATGACTGCACAGCTGTACAGATGTATAGAAGCTGGTCAAACTGTGTATTTGACAGTTACTTAAAATGGTTCGATTTTAAAACATGTAAATTTTACTTCAATGAAATTGTTAAAAGAAAAAGAGAATTAAGCAATTTAGAATGGGGGAGGTTGGTGAGTTTTAGGGCAGCTTCATAAGAAATACATTTCAGCTGGAACTTGTAGAGTAGGTGGAATTTCAATAGCTAGAGAAGACACAAAAAGGAACTACAAAGAAAATGGCACGAAAGTTAGTAACTGCCCGGTATGTTGCACAATATTCACATTTTCAGTGGATACTTGAATACAGAAAAGTACAGCGGAAGGCTGAATAATTTGATTGTGGCCTGATCTCAGAAGCTGGGAATGACCAATTTGATGCATTTATGATTTAATTTTGTATACAATAGTCACTAAACCTTCTAGAAATGGGAGTGCCCTGACAAAGATGAACGGGACAGCAGTAAGTTCTGTTGGAAGGACAAGCGGCCAGGACAGAACATCAACTAAAAAGCTCAAAACTGGCTGTAGTGAATGAAGCCCAAAGTATGCTCACTTCTTGTCTTGATAAAGCAAAAACACAGAGAGATGACTTACATCAAAAAGAAAGGAAAATAATAGTGGCTAGCCATTACTTGGGGCTTTCTATCATCCAGGCACTATTTCAAAGAATCACTGTTACAAAGGAGAGACAGAATTAAGAGCTTATACTGTGCAGAAGGAGCCAAATGGGTTGATGGTCATCTCTAGGTCTGACTCCAAAGAGAAGTAAAGATTAGAGAGGTCATAAAATACTTATCTAAGCCACGTTATGGGAACTGCAGTTATAAAAAGCTGTAACTGAATCAGAAATGGTGATTGAGACAAATGACAGAGACCAACTTACATGGCTCTGTGACTGAAAAAGGCAGGAGCACTTGACACAGCTCGCTGTCACCACTCCTTTGATAGACATAATATACATTAAGTAAATATGCATTGACATGAGTAGGTAGAAGCAAGTAAAAAGTTTTCTATTTGATCTCTTCTTGGGATCAAATTCTTGTCCAATAACTTTTAGAATCACACTCAGCACCTTATATGCTGTCTCCCTAAGGCAGGATTATAGTATATTGAGAGTCAATATCCCACATCTGGTGCACATGTACATTTAAAGCAGTGATCCCATATTGGCTTTCAGAGATCTGAATTTAGCTGTCTTGGAATCACGGAGTGTTTACAGTGATTTCCTTTTAATTAGCTGCCAACACTTAAAGATCAGGAAATTTCACATAAAGCATGAGGATTTTAGCTTCTCGTGAAACCTTATGGGTTTTGGCAACTATATGGCCACATGGGGTCAATCAGAAATGAGTAGCACTTGTCATCTCTAGACATTAAAGTTCCTGCCTAGTACATTTCATTCATTTACTTATTCATTCAATGGATGTTTATCAAATACCTACTACATTCCAAGAACTCTTATGGAGCTGGACAAAAAAAGACTAAAATCCTTACATTTTTAGAGCCCATAAGGCAACATATAAATATATGCTTACAGACACGTGTGATGTGTACACATGAGTGTGTATGTTTGGTAGTAATAAGTACTGAGTTAAATGAAGAAGTAAAGCATAGATGTTCAAAGAGGGTGAACAGGTACCAGGCACTATAGACCAGGTAGCCAGGACAAGAAAGTCTCTGATTCAGTGACACCTAAGCCAAGACCTGATTAACTGGAGGAACACTCAGACCACTGGAGAAAATGGAAAAATTCAAGAGAATGGCTAATGAAATCATATTTAATTTGGGGAAGGAACACAAAAATGAATGAGCAAGGGGTAGGGGGTACTTTGGGCCCAGTTATGGTTTGGACTTTATAAGTGAGATAGGAAATCATGGGTGAGCTAAAGCAGAGGAGTGACGTTGACTATTGATTCTTGTAAGAATTAGAATTTTTGGCGCTTGGTTTAACACAAGCATGGTCAAAGTTTCCAAGGACTATTTCCCTTTGAAGAGAGAAAATAATATCAGGAATACCCTGAGCTCTGAATATTGTGCATGTGCAGAATAACCTCACTTTTAGCAAGACTTCGAAGCAATTGAAATCTTCAATCACATTTCACACTGAAGCCACTTAGACCAAACTCAAGTGCAACTAGGTATTGCTTTATTCTAGACCAGAAAAGAGGTTCCTGGAACATTCTGCTGGACCCACCAATAAAGTCTTTTTCTCTCACTTCTCCATCATTTCCAGTGACACTCTAATCTCCCTTGCTACACTGACTTGGTAGACAAGTTCTAGTCTTGTTTTATTTCAGCCTCTTGAGTAACTCTCATGCTCTCTCTCTAAGCCTTGTACTCCAAAGGAACAATCAGTGCTGAGTGTTTGACATGATCTGTTCTTTCAGGAAATCCATTCCCTGACCATGAACAGTTGTCAATGTTGGAAAAGAAGATGAGATCTACTCACAATCAGAACGTGATCCCGCCCCATGGTGATGACTGTCCTATTCACTGTGCGAAGCAGCTGGACCATGATCTCTTGAATGTGGTGGTAAGTGAAGGCCTGTAATACATTCAGAAACATCAGTGTGACAAATAAGACATTGTATCTGCATATCTCTTCCAAAGGACATACAACAATGATTGCATATGGTGGTCATCAATATTACCACCAAGAGCTCTGTGCCACCATCTTCTTCATCATCATCATCATCATCATCATCATCATCATCGTGGTTGCTGTCATCATATCCCCATAGCTACTACGACCAGAAAATTCACTAACCACCTTAAATATAAGCTAATGATTTATAATTAAGCTCTGCAATCAAAATATTTGGTTTAGAATACTAACCCTGTCAAGAATTATTGTACTATATTGGTTGAGTTACTTCTTTGAGTTTTGCTATCTTCATCTCTGTAACGGTCAGGGTCTTACCTAGTAACCTAGGATAAGTAGGAAATTTAATTCAGGTCATTGTTTATACATGCAATAAAGAAGCTGCAATACAACCTAACCTAGAGATTAGCAACAGCAGGAAGCCACTATCAAACCTAGACTGGAGGGACAAATGTAGCAGTACTTCCAGAGTGCTTCCAGAGCTTGGGACGGAGGTTCTATAATGGAAATGGGAACCATGGGTGTGCTTTGTATCATAAAATGCATAATCAGCATTGGACGTGGTCCAGGGTGAATCAGGTTGTAAAATCATTTGATTTCTGCCCAATTTTAATATAATCTCCTGAACCTTGGGTAGAGCCTGCTTACGCTTATTGAGGTAAGCAAAAGTACTGTGCATATTTCCTAAGATTTTTTTTTAATCCTATAGCCTTAAGGAACTGAATTTTTTCCATAATACTAGGAAAGTGGTCTAACCAACTGGAAATGTCCTGGGATTTCGAACACAACTGCTTTGAGTTTCAGCTCTGTACTTGCAGCTGTGCAAACTTCCTTACCATGCAATCTCTCTGAGCCTCAACATTCTTTATGCACACACACACACACACTTATACAT